GGGGCTTGGGAGTATGAGACGCAGGACAGTTTCCTCTTGGAGGGGCCGGCCCAGGGAGGGGACAGGAGGCTCAGGGTGACTAGGGGAGGGTGGGGTGCCCCGTGGGCCTAGGGGAGAAGGGGTGACTGACAGGGACCTCTATCCCCCCAGTGATGCTGGGCTTCTCTGAGCGTGGCTCTGCCTCCTGTCCCCTCTCCAGCTGGGCAGCTGGATGTACCTGCCTCCCTGCACTCCCAGCCTGAGATGACAGGAGAGAGGTGGTGGCCCAGGGGTGAGTCCTGCCTCCTCTGGGGCGGAGTTATCGCCAGGGACTGGCCCCCAGACCCCAGGGCAGCAGTCCAGCCCAGGTGCAGTAACTGAGGATCCAGTGCCACTTTCCACTCCTTAAGGCCCTCAGGGCCCCAGGTGGTACCTCCTCATGGAGGCACAAGATGTGTATTTCTTGGGCTCTACTCTTCGATGCTGCCTGCTCAGTGCTGGGACCCAACTAGCCGAGGAGGCACCCTCTCTAACACAAACAGCTCACTGTGGCAGTGCTGGAGTCAAGGCAGGGGCACCTCTGGGCCTGCCCTGTGCTGTCTACAGCTTTCCCTGGACCCAAGGAATGGATAGAGGCTGAGGGGTGGGGTCAGGAGCAGATCTTCTGGGCTCCCCCTTTGCCCTTCCTGCAGAGCGCTCCGCCCTGTCACTTCTCAGGGATGCAGCTTTGCTCCCCCTGCATCCACTCAGGCTGCACAGTCTGCCCTGCCTGACACCCTGGCAAGGCCCCACTTAGGTGGCTCTCTCACTGGCAGGGGAGCTGAGGTCTGCTGGATCACAGGCAGCTGCTGCCCGTGCTGTGACCCCAGCACAGCTGGAGCTCTTGGGCAGGACAGGGAGGGGAATGATGGGCCTGGAGCCCTCAGTTGCTGTATGCGGTGCTTTTGGGAGGGGGCCCCCCCTTGGAACTCTCAAGGGAGGTAGCCCAGCAGCCCTGGAAAACACTAGGTGGAGACACTAGCGAGCCTGGGGTTCAGTTGGAGGCCCACAGAGCCCTCAAAACCTTTGGGTTGTGGCGCCCAGAGCATTAGGGAGCATCCAGCTGCCCTCATGGGGCTCCAGGGCTCTAGGGGTCAGGTGCAGAGCATGGAGTGGGGGTGCACAGAGCCCTCAGGCCTAGGGAGTGTGGCCAAGCCTAAGGGGGAGGCCTGGCGGATGCGCAGAGCCCTAGGAATCCATCAGGACTCTTCAGGGTAGGGGGCCCCTCAGAGCCCTGGGGCAGGAGGCTTGGAGCCCCTTGCGTGGAGCCCTCAGCAATCTATGTGGCACGTGGCGATGAATGGGTGTGGCTGCCCTTGGGGAATAAATGAATGAAGAGGGGGAGACTATGTCATATAGGCGTCAGGTCTTCCCTCACTTCTCTCGTGCCAGACACCACTGTGGTTGTCAAGTACATCTCCTTAGCCACCTTCCTGCAACAGATGGAGGACCAGAGACTTAAGAGGGCCTTTCTAACCAGAAGCCATGCCATCTCTCGTCCCTTGGGAGGCCCCAAGCCCATTTCCCCTTCCTCTCGTGCTATCCCTTCTCTCCACCCCAGCTACTCCTGAGCTGTTTGGCATGTCGACCTTGCCACTTCCCCAGGCCCCACGTGGGGTTCGCTAGTCTCCACTCGCCTCTGTCGGCCAACAGCAATCCCGGGTAGTGCTTGTGGGGTTCTCGCCTAACATACTTGATTTGGGATTGGCTGTGGGAACAAGCTGTCACTGTGGCCCTCTGGGGTCTGGCACACTGGCGACCTACTTGTTTTGCCCCTCCCCCTCGTACAGGCTCGTCGATCTGACCATCGGTGTCTTTTATCGCTGATGTGACAGCATCCCCTGCCCCTGCCTACCGCCCACCACGGAGCATTCGGGTCTCAGCCCTTGCACTGGGATGGTGAGGGGCAGACACTGGGGGCCTGAAGAGTCCGCGGCCCAGGTGGCTGTGCACTGGGAGATGAGCCAGGTGGGAGTGGCTTGTAGCAAACAGAGACTGCAGCTGTGGAAGTGGTGAGAAACAATTTCTTTCATTTTTTGGTATATTTTAAAATGCACAGAAAGCATGTTACTTTTAGGAAAACACCCCCCAAAATGTGGGGAAACTCCAGGGTGCGGCAAAGAGAAATGGCCAGGAGCTAGGGGTAGGGGGGTCCCAGACCCAGCCCTGACCCAACCTTGACCCAACCTTGCTGTGTGGCCATAGACAGCCGATTGCCCGAGAGGCTCAGGAGACCTTGGGCGCATGTGCTGGCAATGTACGGGCACTGTGCCAGGTGAGACACTGGGGTTGGCTGCATCCTACCACCTGTAGCAAGGAGCCAGTCAGAGGTGAGAGGGACCGATGCCAGGGCCCCACCTGTCCGGGAAGCCCAGGCCTCACCTCTGTGTCCCGCCTGCCTACATGGAGCAGATGCCAGCCACTCCGTACCTTCCCACCCTCTGCTGGCAGCATACCAACAGGAGGCCTGGCCTCGCGAGACATCCTACCCTGGGTTTCCTTAGCGCCATTTAAAAATCATATATGTACAACCTGAAGACTATCCATGGCAGGACACCTGGTGATAAGTGAGAATATTGTCATGAGGAGTCGGATTACCCAGAGGGGACAGGGCATTTCAGAGTACTGGGAACCTCCCCCTGTCATTAAACGAGCAGCTTTCCAGGACAAACAGCCCACGGAGCACGCGCTGCCCTCGGATATGGAAGATGGGGTCAGCTCTTCTCAGTTACGACATCCGAAGCCGGCATGGTGAGTGCAGGCACACCTGCATTTCCGGGGGCTTTCTGCACCCCATGGGGCCGCGATTATTTTCATAAGCAGCTACAAGAGCTCTGGGTAATGAGTCAGAGAGTGGACTCCACAAGCAAAGCATCAAGGTGTCTATAGGTAACAGGCAATCCGTATCAAAAGCCCAGAGCAAAAAGGGAAAACAGACAAAGCCAGGTGGTGACCCTGGAGACCTAGGGCACAGGCCCCAGACTGGGGAGTCCGATCCCTCCCCCAGCAGGAAGAGCCCAGGCATTAAAAATAAACGGTCTTTTTATTTTATGTCCACGAAAACAAAGTCAGGAGGGGCCTTTGGTTAATCCCCCCAACGAGGTGACGACAAACAGAAGGCATGCAATGACGACAACCATGTTCTCTCCAGGAGAAGGGTCTTGCTCTCCTGGGCCCTAAGGGTCAGAGGCAAGCAGGGCCAGGAGGCTCCAGAGGTAGGCCAGCCCAGGCCCACCATGCTGCAGAGGGCCCGGGCCTGCCGCCTCCGTGGCAGGACAAGGCAGGACAAGGCAGGGGGAGCAAGCACTGCCCCAGGCCAGGCCGGGTGCTCCCAAGCTAGAACACACAGAAGAACCCCACCCCCACCCCCACCAAACACTCCTAAGGCAGTTGGCCATGAAGCCAGCCAGACCCTCAGGGCTCCGTCCAGAAGGGGTTGCCATCCTCAGCCTGCATGGAATAGTAAACAAGGAGCAGGAAGGCAGCAAACACCACGAACAGGAGCAGCTGGCCCCAGAGTGGGACCTGGCGGTCCTGGCCCAGACCAGCCCCAGGGGCCTGCTTTTCTGGCCGAATGGCACGGCGGGTGAGCCACAAAGGGGAGGAAGATGAAGATGAGGACACAGAAGAGGTGGAGGAGGATGTGGGATAATAGGACAGGCCCAGGGAGCCTCTGGAGATGTTGGAAACGGGGCGGTAGTGCGCGATGCTCTGGTAGGCACTGTCCCGGCCATACACGGGGCGTTCCCTGAGGCAAAGAGGGGAGTAGATGGGCCAGGAGGGCTTGGGCCCAGAATCAGTCCTGGTCCCTGGCCCTCTCCACTACTCACCTATCCTTGCCCTCCTCTTCAGAAGAGAAAAGACTGTCATCACGAACCTAAAGAAGGGTCAGGGTGAAGAGACCGACTGGCAGGGTCAGCATGGCCCTGTCACAGCTCTCAGTCCAAACTTCCCTAGTTGGCCCGGTCCGATCAGTGCTTAAAGGCCAAGGCCGTGCCCTGCTCCACAACTCCTCTGAATTCCTGGCCTTATGTCCGTGAGGCCTTGCCACTGCTCAGTGACTGTCCTGACTGCCTGCACCCTACCTTCTGCCCCAGGATTCTCAGAAAGAGCTCAAACCCGGATTCCAGACCAGGGGCAGGGCAGGGCCCACATGCTCTAGTCAAACAGTTCGGAAGGATCTTCCAAAGGAGGGTCCTGCCAGGCGGGTGTCTGCTGACCCCACCTCTCCCTGGAGGCTTCAGAGCCACCATTTGCACCCAGTGGCCCTTTGAATTACCCAAACCCAGCCATGACCCCCTGAGGTTGTACCTGAGTACAGTACAAGGTGCCCAATAGTTAGCTCACCTGGTGGTGAAAGGTGTCAGCGTCTGAAAGTGAAGCAGAGGGCTGGCGGAAGCCCTTGGATGTGCCCACAAACTCAGGCTCCCCGTAAGTCCTGGTGCTCAAGTAACTCTCTTCATAGTAGTCATCATTATAGCCTTGGGAAGAGGGGGGCAGCGGTAGCAGAGGAGGCAACGGTGTCCCCCACCTAGCCCAATGACCTTAATTTGAATCCCATTTCGGGCCGCTGATATGGTTTATCCCCTCCCGGGCTGCTGAGGGATGGTGGGGATTGAGGTCTCACGTTCTCCCCGACACTGGGGTCCCCGAGGGAGTGGAATGATGTCAGGGCCCATCCCACTGCTGCCTTACCCTTGCTCTGGTAAAGTAAGGCGTCCTCTTTCTTGGGGAGATCGTACATATCCGAGTCCACAGATGCAGAATCTGAGTCTGAATGGGAGGGCAGGACCATTTGCCCCAGGATCCTTTTTGCCCCTGCTCCTCCCAGCCAGTGCCCCTGCTGCACTATCGACACTCCATCCTTCCCACAGCCCAAACCCTGTCCCCACGGGGGACCAGGTGGGGCTCTGGGGCGGGGGCCTCACCGGAGAACCGATAGGAGAAAGAGGATGCAGACGAGTTCGGGGGCGAGAGTCTCCGCCTCTGGGTCTCGTACTCGAAGATTTTCTTTTCGTAGAGCTTGCGAGTGGAGCCTGGCCAGACACAGGGCCCCGGGCGGTCAGGGGCGCAGGCAGGGAAGCAGGGGAACGGGTGCCAGGAGGGGCGGACCGCG